TGTTTTCCCGAAAATAAGACACTGTCTTATATTTATTTTTTCTCAAGAAGACACACTAGGGCTTATACCACAAATGCATAGAAATCCTGCTAGGGCTTATTTTTGGGGTAGGTCTTATTTTCGGGGAAACAGGGTAGAAAAGCAAGAAGTCATGGCTGAACAGTTTAAATACAACGGTCCTGAATGTAAGATTAACCCCAGCCCCAAAACTGTGACACATTTTAAAGAACTGTACACATGTGTGCAATTGTAATAGGACCAATAGGACCTCCTTTTGGCCAAATCAGTAATTTAAGGGCAATGTCATTTAGAAACAAAAATTAAACCACCTGGCAGTGACCAATCATAATTTACTCCAACTTACGGTCCCAGTCAGGAATGTATAAAAAGGCCATGAATCTGGCCAGAGGCTGAGAAGACTGGATCTGGGGCGATCAAGTTGGAGCGGTAAGCTTACACCTACCCAAGGGATCAGCAGAGGTTCTGTCTTGATCTGGGCCAACTAAGCTCAGGGCTCTACTGACGCAGCTGGCAAGGTTAATCACAACAATGCCGCAATATAAGGACTATATAAACTGCAGAAATATTTTGCAACCTGTGAATAACAGAAGTGTGCGTCGCTTAGCAGGTCTTGCTCTGTTCCAAGTGTAATCCGCCACAGATTACAAAGGTCCCTTGACCAGTGGGGCTATTGGGTCAGACCAAAAGTATGGGGGTCAGCAGGAGGTTGCAGGGGCAGCCTGGGAAGGGAAAACCCTCAGTCTGCACCCAGCAGGCAGACTCCTGTAGTCCCTTTGGCTGGTGGAGAAACAGGAACTGTGCAGGCAGGCAGACCGTTTTCAAACGCAACTGGGTAGGAAAGTTACAACGCTGCACTTGGTTCATGCTAGAAAGCTGACCAAGGATTAAGCATAACAAAGGCTGTAAACCACCTTTTTTCAGTTTACTTTTATTCATGTAAATATCTGCAAGCCAGTCACAGGTGTTGTATCCACATAACATATGGTGGATTTCATCGGGAAACGTCAGTGGTGCACACACACAAAAACCCACCACCCTTAGGCTGTAGCATGTTTGGACTGGCACACCTCAAGTGTGACAGTGGACAAAGCGGAGGCGATGCTATTCCACTTCCTCTTGCTTTCAACCTGGATGATACCTGCAGCTCCTTTTTTAAAAAAAAGTTTCTGTAACAGACCTTGTAAAAGTTCAGTGCCCTTCAGCTTTGTTTATTCAAACTGTGCCTAAGAGGACAGGCACTCTCTTCCTTTTCCCTGGGGTGGGAGAGGAACAGAGAAATACCGGAAGAGGAGAGGCGCAAGCTTCCACTGTATTGCTGACATTTATCCCTTCTACAAAGGGGGAGGGGGGGGCAAAGGAATGCGCTCTACCTGTTTCCACACACTCCCTCCAGGTTGGAAGAATTTCGTGTGACCCACATAGATGTATTAATTCTGGAAATTTTGAAACCATGGGGAAAATTAGGGTTTTTCTCCCCCAAGGAGGTTGGGAGCATAAGGTATAGAAAAAAGAAAGTTTGGCATGAAACTGAAATAGAAGGAGGAGGAGGGGAGATTGGATTTATACCCCGCTCTTCTCAGAGCATCTTACAAACTCCTTTCCCTTCCCCTCCCCACAACAGACACCCTGTGATGTAGGTGGGGCCGAGGGAGCTCTTTCAAGGACAACTCTGACAGAACTATGGCTTGCCCAAGGTCATC